CATTTTCCAAAATTTTTGAAAACTTCTGTAAAAACAAAGTTTAATATAATCCATTGTTAAAGAAACTTACGTTTATAGCTCCTTTGTTTTTGCCAAATGTCATATATACTGATGCTTCGTGATATAATTTTTCATGCATTAGAAATGACTAAGTCAACGATCTAAAACGAATCAAGAATATTTTATATTGCATTTCGATCAATGTACTAACCAGATTAATATGTACAGCAGGGATTCGAACAACAGTTAATAGATAACCAAGCAGAAATATATACATATCGTTGTTAAAATTCAACAAACAAAAGACGTCCGTCACAATAAAAAAAATATGAACATGATCTGTGGTCTCGTGCAACGGATTGGTGTTGTGTCGTACATTTGTTTCTCAGCTACGCTTGGCTTATACACATCTACTAGGCGATCAAATTCTAACTAATTCGAAATTCAAAAACTCTAATTAAGAAAAGTACGAAAGGATTTTGGGTGTAGTGATTAAAAATGTTATAGACGTCGCTAATTATAAATCAGTCTATTGCGCGAGACTCATCATGACATCATTTCTTGCAATGGTTTTCCTTGATATGGATATTCATTATCTTTTACTGTATTGAAATCAATCGAAATCTTTGCATTTATGTTCTTTATTGTATGAGCTTTATTTTTATTATAACTCATTGGCAATAGATGATTGCAATTAAAAACAACTTTTTCTGTTTGATTGCAAAGGCGATATAATTTATTCATCCTCCATCATGCGCTGTCATAAAGATTTGCTTTTACGAAGAACAAAACATTTATTGTATATATTTTGCTAATGTTAAGAAGTCATAGTATGATCAAATTTCTCACTCAAACAAGTTTGAACGGACCAATATTATCGTTTTATTATAGACAATAAATAGATTGTTTTATTTATAAAGCTCAGAAGTAATTTTATTTTATGGGAAGACAAGGTAGAAATATAACATTGTGCATTACGACTGATATAAATTTTAATGAATCTGAAACTATGAGAAATCAATAATTAGAAACGATAAGTTATTCATAACATATTTTTTACGTTTAACAAGTTTGAAGAAAACGAAAAAGTTAAAAACAAAATTTTTTATCTTTTTTTGTGCACTACTTTTTCTTCAACAATTAATCGGAAACCTTAGTTTTTTCTCAATCGTGTTATTGTAGTTCTTCTTGTAATCGACATCCCCCTCCCACACACACCCACACACCCCTGTTAAGTGTGTTTTCCTATTTAGATGATACATTCGATCAAAGAATTTGTGAAATTTCTTCATAAAAATAAAGTAAAATACAGCTTACATTCTTTTAGTGAAAAAAAAATGAGAAATGCCAATTTTAAGAAGCATCGTGTGAAATGGAAGAAAATGATTAAATTGAAATGTTGCCAATAGATCATGCATTCTAACTTCATAAACATTTCTAATTTTGCCTATCTTCTTGGAAAACATATGGTATACGAGAACCTAGTTAGAATATTTTTGGAGTAAAATTTTGTTTTATTACGTCAATAGTGACACCCACATTAACATTAGAACAGACTGAAAGAGAAAAAAAAACTAAAAACATTGAATACTAATGTAGAACATACCATCAAGTGGCTAGTTCTTTTTTCGACAAAAAATAGATGAAGCATTATCTTTGAAATCAGAATCATATAAAATATTATGATAAAAGGAGATGCTGATGATGGGTATTATAGTTGAAAGAATTTACATGGTACTCAATTCTATGAATTAAAATAAGCAGATTAGAAATTTTGTTTTGTTATCTATCAGTTATTTTTTTTACTCTAGATAACTTAAACTAATGTTTTAAATCGATCTGTCGAGAAGACACTATTGATTCAGTAATTATTGTCCTAGGTTGGAACGAAATACTTTACCAGTACATTTTGGCCAGTATAAGAGTTATGCGTAGGGGTTATGACTTCCAGGTTCTATCTCTAGAGGCGAGAACGTTGAAATCTCTAATGAGAAATCATTCAGCGCACACAGAAACACACACACATGAAGAGAGTAACCAATGATTAGTCACAAATGTTTCTTTTTCAAAAGAAGTAATATACGATTCACATACAAAGAAAAAATAAAATATTCGAGTGGAATCATTTTAACCAAGTGCAGCACGAAATTCGTCCATGGAAAAGTTTGGATCGATTTTACGGCCAGCAGGAACTGCTGCTTCCTTATGTCCCAAAACATTTGATGTAGGTACACCATAAGCTGCTTGAAGGGCTTTAACACCACGCACGTAACTCTGCCATTGAACCTCTGGCCAATTTTTATGACTACTGTTGTCAGCTGGAAGACCAGTTCCTTCAGCTTCGATGCCTATTGCATTTGCATTGCCGAAGAGTGTATCATCTTTGGTACTACCAGCATGATAAGATTTACCTGCTGCAATCACATACCAAGTTCCAGAACGGCCAAGTCCAAGTTGCGAAAGTGGACCAGGCAAATCACTACGACCATCTCGAACAATTTTTAATGATGGATATTCACCTGTTGCTGGACCAGCTGTATGGTGTACAACGATACCTTTCACTGAACTCATTACACTGTGGCCACGTGTTTTCCATCCTTCTTCTTCTACCACATTGAGACCGGCACCACGCAAAATATCAGCTAAACCAGTAAGCATTGTATTGATTGGTTTGCTAGAAGGTACTGTTGGCAAGGTTCCTGATTTGCAGCATTGAGAATTGTCAGCATCCGGACAGATACCTGGATAAGGAGTACCACCATTAGCAGTACATGCTGTCGGCTCCATACAGGTAGAACTGGAATAAGATCAATGAGTATATTTATCTTATCGAATAAGAAACGTAATAGAAAAAAAAAATGAGACTTTCTATATGATGAACATGTCTTATAGCTATTTTATTTTTGAATGTAGGCTACTCAATTTTTTCAGAGCTTGACGGTATCAATCATTCTCATTAACGTATAGGTTCACTCGTATGGTTCATATTTAGTAGGGTGCAAGAAGAGTCCCAATGACTCAGAAGAACAACAACTGGTAATATTTGTAGGAAAAATATTAGACGTAGGTGCCTGTTTCTGGTTCCAGCTGTAATATTAGACGTTTGGTGCATCTACGTGGTCATCTATGCATCTAATCTTCAAGTCTTCATGCATATACTAAAAGTATATCTCAAAGTAAAAGATTTTATAAATTATTAGTGTTAAACCGGTTGACTTGGGTGAAATTCGGTCAGAAAATTTCACTGCAACGATTTACCAGGAACAACATCGAATGTTTACAGCGCCAGGACAGAGGTTTGCTTGAGAATTGCCACCTTTTGCAGCGCATTCACCTGCATCAATGCAAGCATTCGCTGACCAACATGTCGCACAAAACACGGTGTTTAGGTTGAAAACGAAAGCAGAAATTATAAACGTAAAAAAACGATTGCCGACCATTGTATCTGTGAAAATACGGACACTACCCAAAAACAACTGATGATTATTGCTTTTAAGACCTTAAATATCCGGAAAACAAATGCTTTTTAAATCAACTAGATGAAAAAAGTGAATAAAAAGCAATTTTCAATGATGTATTTAGATTTGTATTCAATATCGTTTTCTTCAAATATGAAAATGAAAAGATTATCGATAGTTTAGTGCCTGTTCGACAATATTTGTGATTGGCGGTATATTATTGATGGTTCTATGACAGCTAAGAAAACAAAGGATTAGTTGAAAAATTCAGGCAAAACAAAAACAGTCAGTAATAAAAGAAATGCCATGCTCTTTACAAAAATTTTCAGTTTTAAAGCAAACAGATTAAATCTACTTTCTGAATGAAAAAAATAGAGAAACAGAACGAGTAAGTGTCGTAGCTTACTTCTCTTACTAATTAATTTATACTCTAACACATATGATTCATCATCATAGTATTACTCGTTGTAATTAATTGAAAAATCTCGATCAATGTCCACACTTACAGGCTGATACTGATATGTATTTAGG